CCCCATCCACCCCCCCAGGAGTTGGTGCAGATGTGGTGCTGGGGTGACATGTTTCCTCAGACGGTGCAGAAGCTGGCGGCGGCGGCCCACCGAGACATCGCGACGGTCCGAGAACTAACGTTTCAGAACATTCTGAACCAAGCTCGCGATTGCATTCCCCCTGAGATTATTGATTCGATTCGCGTGAGTAGTGATTGCGATTTGGCCGCACTTAAGGAGTTTTCGTCTATTGGTACACATGGGGCACGCGCTAACAATTGCAATCGCGATTTGATTGGCCTGCTAAAATGTTATACGTTCGAGAAGCCAAGCGTCGAGCGGATTCCAGTTGCGGTGGGCCCAGGGTAATCGGTTGTGGCGCAGAAGACCCAGGGCTTCCTTTGGCCTCGTGAAATATTTTCGGCGCTGTACGATAAGTACCCAAACATGTTTGCTTCGAGTGTATATTCTGGTGCAGGTATCGAAGAATTTTGGAATGCGATGGCAGCCAGTGGGCACCCAGCTATGCCAGACCATCTCATGGCTGGAGTTGCCGATTGGAAATCAAGATTCATGCCATTGTCGTTGCACGGTGACGCCGTGCCAGTAAGTGGATGCGGAAAGGCATGGGCCAAATCGTATACAATTTTCTCGTGGTCAAGCTTGCCGGGAAAAGGCGCTACGCTGACAACGAATTTCATGATCTATTCCGTTTCCACGTCAATATTCCCAAAAGCTTCAAAACATGCGTTCTGGAGGCGCCTGATCGCGTCCTTTCTTGCTTTATTTGAAGGTGTTTGGCCTGCAGGATCGCCGAAAGCTGGCCAACTTTTAGCTGGTGGGTTCCGTGCGTGTCTCTGGTTGCTCAATGGTGATTTGAAATATTGGAGTGAGGATTTGGACCTTCCTAATCATGCAGCTGACATCCCGTGCGCCCTTTGCCCTGCCAATGCGAGTCCGCTTCCTTGGTGGGGGCTTTCCGAGAATGCGCGTTGGCTCGATCGCGTTCACGGAACAGCTGCTTTCAATGCCAGATTTCCGAACAAACATCCTGTTCATGTTGGTGACGCACTTCGCATTGTCCGTAGACGTAATGCATGTAAAACACATGGGTACAGACCAATTTCTCCTTGGAAGCATATTGCACCTGCTCACCCACGAAGTATTACCTGGTTCCCCTAAAAGGAATATGGATCAGCTGAAGCATGAGATTATGAGCGGATACACACGACATGCATGCCATACCAAGTATTCAGATTTGCGGCTCTCCATGTTCAAGAAAAAGCAGAATATGCAGTTCGGTTGCGAGGAAAGGCACAAACAACTAGATGTCTGGTTCCAATTATTAGAAAGAGCGTGTTCTACCGCTGCTGGCGGAAAACCGGGGGGGGTCACTACCGGTTCGAACCCCTCCCCCCCCCCCCCCCCCCCCCCACTCGGGAAATCGGGGGGGGGTCACTACCGGTTCGAACCCCTTCCCCCCCCCCTGATCATCATGAAAAAGGGGGGGGGGTCACTACCGGTTCGAAACCCCCCCCCCCCTCCGGTCGAAAACGGGGGGGTCACCGGTTCGAACCCCCCCCCCTCGAAAACCGAGTGGGGGTGCGGACAGTGGTGGGGGCGGTGTTGGTGGGGACAGTGGTGAGGGGATAGCGGGACAGTGGTGGGGGACAGTGGGACAGTGGGACAGTGGTGGGGACGGTAGTGGTGGGGACAGTGGTGGGGACAATGGTGGGAACAGGGGGGGACAGTGGACAGTGGTGGTGACGGTGGTGGTGGGGACAGTGGTGTGGGGACAATGGGAATGAGGTGGAAACAGTGGGACAGTGGAGGGTACAATGGTGGTGGGGACAGTGGTGAAGGCGGTGGCGAGGACGGCGGTGGGACAATGGGACAGAGGTACAGTGGGGACAGTGGTGGGGACAGTGGGGACAGTGGTGGGAACAGTGGGACAGCTCAGTGGGACAGCGGAGGAGTCAGTGGGACAGTGGGGACAGTGGGGATAGTCGGGCAGTGGTTGGGGCCGTGGAGACAGTGGGGAGAGTGGAACCGTGGTGGGAACAGTGCTGGGGACAGCGGGGACAGTGCGACAGTGGTGGGGCCACTGGTTGGGACAGTAGGGGCGGTGGTGGAACCAGTGGGGACAGCGGTGGTGAGGACAGTTGTGTGCTGGGAACACCAGTGGGGGATGTGATGCGGACGGTGGTGGGGACCGGGAGTCGTTTGCTGGCGGTGACGGTGAGTAAAAAGGGGGGGGGGGGGGGGGGGGGGGTTCGAACCGGTAGTGGACCCCCCCCCGGTTTTTTTCGGCTCGGAGGGGCCGGAGCGGGGGGGGGGGCAGGGGTTCGAACCAGAGTGACCCCCCCCCGGTTTCGAGCGGGAGGGGGGGAGGGGGGGGGGGGGGGGAGGGGTTAGGGGGAGGGGGGTTCTTGCGGGGGAGGGGGGGGGGGGGGGGGGGTTTCCAGCAGGGGGGGGGGATTTTCGGGGGGGTTGGGGGGGGCGACCCCCCGGGTTCCGGAGGAAAAGGTTGGCAATTTTCCACAGTAGAGCGGCGGTGGATCACGCTCTCTCAATTATTAAGATCATGTGGGGCAAGCACAAGAACGCAGCTTTGCTTGAACACCAGGCGGTGGCAGCTGCGCTCGAGCTCTCCGCCAAAATCGACATCATTTTAGATAGAAACAAAAGAACCTACGTACTGCAAGGAGCCGATGCTAGTCAATATGCCAAGTCCGTGTTTGATTATCTTGTTGTTCAAAATGCGTGTGCTGCCCAGTTTCAGTCTCGTGCCTACAAGCTCTTCGACATTGCCATCAAATCACATTGCTCGGCGCACAGCGCGATACAGGCGCAATACCTGGATCCAAGGTGTGGGTGGTGCTATGCAGGGGAGGATATGGTGGCCAAAGCAAAGAAGCTTCTTCAATCGTGCGTTGTTGGAAATAGCCCTTACACAGTCGGTTTCACATGCAGCGGGAAGTATCTGTCTGGTTTGCATTGCATGGCCGCGCCACCGTGGGAATGGATAGAGATATGATTTGATTGTTGGAATTTGATTCACAGCGGATTGTGTCACAGTTTGATTTGACTGTGGGAATTTGATCTGAGTTGATTGTGAGTTGATTGTTGTGTCACAGCGTTTATATTCTATGATTGTGGAACACGGCTTGCGTGTTACAGCGCGATTGTGGAACGCAGCTTGCGTGTTCCAGCACGTTGCCATGAACATGCAGTTGACGCGGGAAAATGTGAGGGAGGCCCGACATGTAACGTACATTCTAAACACTGCGCATGTAGAAACACATGAGGGGGACGAGGAGGAGGGGGGGGGGATGAGGAGGGGGAGGAGGGGGGGGAGGAGGAGGGGGAGGAGGAGGAGGAGGAGGAGGAGGAGGAGGAGGAGGGGAGGAGGAGGAGGAAGAGGAGGAGGAGGAGGATAGCAGGAGGAGGGCGACAAGGAAGGAGGAGGAGGATGAGGAGGGCGACGACGACGCGGAGGAGGATGTGGGGAGGGGGTTGTGTATGAAGATCGGAAGGTGCGCTCTACATGCAAGATCCAGAGGAAAGCTCTGTAGGTGGGCTCTAAATGTCATATCTCATATCTCACGGTCGGCTAGCGACGGGGGCCCTGAAGGTGCACGCGAGGCTCCTGAAGGTGCACGGCGTGACGCGTGACGGGGTCCCTGAAGTTACACGGGGTTTCTGAAGGTACACGGGGCCCCTGGAGGTACACCACATTCTGCGTGACTTGTGACGGTGTCCCTGAAGGTACACGCCAGAACTGAGCCTGCGAGACAGCGCCCCCATCCTTCAACATATCACCCGAGTCGCCCCCATCAGTGCCAATTCCGCCGCTCCGCCCGCCCGAAGGAGGCGCGGCCGGGGAGGCGGAGGGGGGGGGGGAGGAGGAGGAGGAGGATGAGGAGGAGGAGCTGGAACGGAGGAAGAGGAGGAGGAGAAACAAAGAACGGGAGGAGGAGGAGGTAGGAGGAGGAGGAAGGAGGGGGGAAGAGGAGGGGGGAAGAGGATGGAGGAGGAGGAGGAACAGCAGCAAAAGGAGGAGGAGGAGGAGGAGCCGCAGGAGGAGGACGAGGGAGGAGGAGCAAGAGGCGGAAGAGAAGGAGGAAGAGGAGGATGATTGAGAGGATGTCGAGGAGGAGGATGATGGGGAGGCGGAAGAGGAGGATCATTACGAGGATCGGGGCGGGGATGATGATGATGATGTTGATGATGCTGATGCATCTGATGATGATGATTATGATGATGGCGATGATGAGGAGGATGAAAAACGCGATTGGAAAAAAATAAGCACAAACATCTGGATACTCCAAACGTTTCGCACATTCCGACGCCCGATCGCCCTGGAAAGTTTGGGCCCCAACGATTAGCAACGTCACAACAGCAAAACAAGCAGCAATCACATCTGCACCAAATCTGCACAAAAAACTGCAACACAACTGCAACAACACTGCAACAAAACTGCAACGAAACTGCAACGAAAATGCAACGAAACTGCAACAAACATGCAACACACATGCAACGACACAGACACACATTTTGAACGATTCGCTGATAAACACAGCCCCGACAAAAAAATATCATACAACCAAACAGTTATCATTCTGACACACAAAAGTTGTCAGACGCACGAGCGAAACTTAACGTTGATAACTTGCCCTGGTTTGTTAAATTTTTCGGCGTTGTGTCGTTTTTTTTTTTTTTTTTTTTTTTTTTTTTTTTTTTTTTTTTTTTTTTTTTTTTTTTTTTTTTTTTTTTTTTTTTTTTTTTTTTTTTTTTTTCGGTTTTGTTAACTTCCCGGCATTTTGATAATATTTCCATGTGTTGTTAACTTCTATATAAATATGCCAACTTTTAGTCTTATCTGATCTATAGGGTAGCCCTTCGGACACGCTTTGCTTCTTCGCGGCCTGGCCTTTTGATCCAGCTGCTCTCCCGTCATCCCTCGCACTCTCCTACTCCCTCTTCTCTCGTCCTCGTCATGCCTCCGCTCCTCTCCGCAGTTTTCTTGGCCCGAGCGAGCTGGAGACGCTCTCGCAGCCAGGAGCGACAGCCATCAGCTGCCCCCCCCATCCAGCCGGCCTTTGGGGGGCGCGTGCTGGGGGGGGCGATGCACGAGGCGGGGCAGCGAGGGCTGCCGAAGAGGGGCCCTCGAGAGGTCCCCCCCCCAAAGGGGCCCCGTGGGGGCCCCAGAGGGGGGCCACTGGGGCCCGAGAAGGGCACCTCTGCCCCTCCCCAGTCCTACCGCCCCCCCAGACTCACCACCTACCAAACCATCCCAGCCCAACCCGAAGGCCCAAATTTATCCTCGATTTCCAGTGGGGGGGGTCGGGGAACGCTGAACAAAACACATGGAACCCGTACCCCCCCGAACCCGAAAGTCGATCCCAATTCGGGTCTTCAAGTTGGGTTGGGGTGGTCTGGTAGGTAGTCACAGACACTCCCGGCCCAGGCCTCCCCGAGGCCATGGGCCCCACGCCCGCGCTCGGGAAGGGCCTCTGCCGCGACCCCGTGGCGGGCGCCGCGGGGCCCGCCCCCGGGCTCGCCGGGGAGGGGTGCGGCCGCCTCGGCCGCGAGGGCGCGCGGGCGTCCGGGGCGGCCGCCGCGCCGCCCGAGGGCTTCGCCGTGGACGTGCTCAAGCGCCCGGGGGACGTCCTCGGCGCTGCCCTCGGCAACAGCGAGGAGTCATAGCCCCAAAATCATTAAGGGTAACTCGGGTCAGGGTTAACTCGGGTTCGTTTTTTCGGGAATCCGAACCCGAGTTACCCCGGATAATTCGGGCGTCCAGAGCCCCAAAATCATCAGGGGTATCTCGGGTCAGGGCTAACTCGGGTTCCTTTTTTTCGGGAAGCCGAACCCGAGTTACCCCGGACCCGAGTTGCCCAGGATAACTCGGGCGCCCCAAGGAGGGGGCCGTGGTCGTCGCGATCGAGGAGCGGGGCCTCCTCGGCGAGTGGAACAGGGCACACCCGGAGCGGGCGCTGCGCCCCGGCTGCCTCGTCACGCGCGTGAACGGGGCCACGGGCTACTGGTCCATCCTGGAGGAGATCCAGCGGCCCGGCGCCCTGGTGATGAGGGTGTCCACCAGCCAGGGGTCGCTCTCGGAGGCGGGTTCCTGGCCCGGAAGGCGTCCTGCAGGGTGCTCCCAGGGAGGCCCCAGGATGTCTGCAGTCGGGAGGGAACAGAAACACACCGACACATGTTGTCGACGATCCCCAGGAAAATATGGGGAAATATGGGAAGTGTGGGCAGAACATGTCGGAAAATATGGGGAATCTTTTTATTTGTGTGCATTTACTTGTGTCTCCTGGGGCCCCTTTAATGTCCAGAGCTCCCCCCGCGGGGCCCAGAGGGCCCCACAGGGGGGTCCGGGCTGGCGCGGCTGGCGCACGAGGCTGGGGACACCTTAAGGGCCAGAAATGCTTTTGTCAAGCAGCGGCGAAGCGTCCTGGCCCGCCTATAGCCCCACCGAGCCATGTTCTAAGAACCTTTTGTGGTTCCCACGAAATGTTCTTAGAACGTTTCTGGCGGATATTGTTTTGTTTTAACACATGGGGTTTATGTTCTAAGAACATTGTTTTTATTATTAGAACATTCTTGGGTTCTAAGAGCATTTCTTGGAACGACTATAGGAATGCCGGGTCGGTCGGTCCCTGCTCAATTTTGGCGACCCCTGAGCCAGACCTCCCAAAAATGCTGGCGCCAACTGGCTTCGCGATATCGACGAGCTGGGGTCGAGGTTCATGAAGCAGGGAGTGAGCAGTAGCTCCTTTATTATGCTCCGGCTGCAGCCACAGGATGATAGCACCACGAGCCCCGCCTTCTCATCCCTTTCCACTGTCCAAGCTGGCGATTGTGGCGTCGACCAGTGTGCTATTTGTATTGACGACGTGGGCTCGGAGGAGACGCTTGTGCAGCTGTGCAACTGCGCTGCCGCGCATATCCGCCAACTTGCTGTGCGTGGCTGGGAGGAGGGGCGCCCGGTGGGTGGCTTGGAGTGAGACCTCCAAAGGTCTCCGGATGCTCAGTAAGGGCAAGCAGCGTCCAAATGCTGGTGGGTGGCTGTGGGTATGGGGTCTCCGACGCTGAAGTTGCTGTTCACCACCCACCAAACCACCCCAACCCAACCCGAAGGCTCAGATTTACCCTCGATTTCCAGTGGGGGGGGTGTCGGGAAACATCGCAAAAACACGTGTGGAACCCTTCCCCCCCCCAACCCGAAATTCGGGTCTTCGGGTTGGGTTGGGGTGGTCTGGTACGTAGTCAGCTGTTCTGCACGATGGTGTTCAGACGGTGAGGGCCCAACATTCGGAGACCTGGACAGAGCAACGCGTGCATTACTGCCCCGGTGGCGCCAGGGAGGTCTGGACCATCGTGCCGCAGCGAGCGGGCCCCTCCCCAGCACCCGAGAGCACCGCCGGACGGTCTCCGCAAGGCTTCCGAACTCTCCCCAGAGGCCTCCAGAGAGCATCTTCGAGCAGTGGCGAAGCGTCCTGGCGTGCCTATAGTCCTACCAGACGATGTTCTAAGAACTTTTTGTGGTTCCCACGAATTGTTCTTGGCACATGTCTTGCGGAGCCTGTCTTGGTTTAGCAAATCGGGATTATTTTCTAAGAACATTTTTTTTGCTCTTAGAACATTTTTGGGCTCTAAGAGAATTCCGTGGTAGGACTACAGGAATGCCAGGACGGTCGGCCCCTGCTCAATCCAGAGGCCTCCAGAGAGCAACTGGTTGCCACCGAACAAGTTCGGAGGCCCGCCAGGAACGGACAAAGGCCCACACTCCAGGTTAGCGGTGGATGGGCTCGGTGGGGGAAGTGCCCACCCTCAGCCGCCCATCCATCGCCGACGGGCACGACGGGCACGACGGCCCCCCTCCGTCCAGGAACACGCGGCTTCGCCACCGGGGGCCTGCCGCTGACCTGTCGGCGACACAGCGCAGGTGCCAGCCCGAGGCTCCCCCCCTCGAGCCGCCCATCCCTCCCCACACCGCCGATGCGCTGATCGAAGGTGGATCGACCTCCTACCCTGACACGTCGATTATCGGGCGAAGAGAACTATGCACAGGCACCGATCTTGGCCTGGCCCATCCTGGCACCCAGGATCGGTGCATGTGCCCTCCTGGCCAAGGCAGGATGGCGTATGCACCGATCCTGGGCTCAGGGTGGGCCCGGCCAGAATCGGTGCATGTGTACAGTTCTCTTTCCTCCAGACTAAAGAATTGGCCGTTTTCGGTTCGCGAGAGGGCGTCTCCAGGCCGTATTCACTACAGTGCCGTTTTTAATACATGCTCCGCGTGCGGATCATGTATTAAAACATGCAGGGATTTAGCATTAGAGGCAACGATGAGTTCATGCATACATTTGTTCACAGGTGGATCATGTACTGAACATCCCATTTTTATATATTAAAAAAAAACAGATCCTTTGTATAGAATAACACTGCCCTGTACGGGGAGGTTTGCGAAAGGGAGGCTTGTCCACCGCCGAGCCGAGGTCGGGGCCACCTCGGTGCAGTGAGGGGCTCCGGCCGTGGGGCCGCCCCCCGCACTCCTCGCGCTCTCGGGAGGGACAAGAACCCCACAGACACAGTGCATCGTCGGTGCCCCAGGGCATGTTGGGAGCCGTGGGAAGTGGGGGAGGGGAAGACGGAATGCCCAGAACTCGGGAGGGACAAGAACCCCACAGACACGGTGCGTCGTCGGTGCCCCAGGACAGATGGGGAGCTGTGGTACGTGGGGGGGAAGACGAAATGCCCAGAACACCGGGGAGGCTCGTCCACGGCCGGGGCCGAGATCGGGGCCCCCCTCGTCGCCGCGACGGGGGCTCCTTGGCCGTGGGGCCGCTCCTCGGGCCCGGTGGTCGGGGAGCCCTCTGCCCGCGGCCGGGGCCCGCCGTGGCCAGGCGGCCCCCCTCGCACTCCTCGCGCGCTCGGGAGGGGCAAGAACCACAGATCTGGACGCCCGAAATGGGTACCGAAAGAACGGGTACGATGCCCAACAGCGGATCTTGTTCACTTTGAACAGGGCTCGCTGTCCACGCCGCCGCGGCCTGTGTCCATTCGAGACAGGGAGGCCGCCTGCCCAACAGCGGCCGCTGTTGGTTTGGGACAACATTTGTTGTTGGGCATCGTGCCCATTTTTTCGGTACCCATGTCGGGCGTCCAAAACAGACACAGTGCATCGTCGATGCCCCCCCCAGAACAGATGGGGAGCTATGGGAGTCGCCGCCCACCAAACCACCCCAACCCAACCCGAAGGCCCCGATCTGCCCTCCATTTCCAGTGGGAGGGGGGTCGGGGAACATCGAAAAGACACATGGAACCCGTACCCCCTCCCCAACCCGAAATTCGGGTCAAATTCGGGTCTTCGGGTTGGGTTGGGGTGGTTTGGTAGGTGGTCAGGGAGGTGGGGGGGAAGGCGAAAGCCCAGAACAGATGGGGAAACATAAGGGCAGTCCTGTTGTTTGTGACTACTTGTGTGTGTGTGTGTGTGTGTGTGTCCCAGGGCCCCTTCATGCTCAGCGTTCCTTGCGCAGCACGATAACTGCAAGGCGAGAGATGAAACGAGCCAGTCCCAACATCACGCGCAGTCAGTAACTACAGGCTGGCGCCACCCCCGCGAGGCGTCGCAGCACAAATCCACTGTGTCGTGAGCATGCCTTCGCACGCCAGAGGAAAGCATTCGCGGCACAGCGCGGCGGCGGGCCCTGTGGCCACGCGTTCCACTCTCTCTGTGCGGCCCGGTGGCTGTCAGAGAGCGGGCGGGCTTGGGGCGGCAAGCGGCAGTGCTGCCCCCTCTGCTGCCGTAGGGTCACGAGCGCCCCCGACGGCAGCATCCTCGAGACGGAGTGAGTGCGACGCAGCTGTTGGGCGAGGACGGCGGAGAGGGCGAGGAGGAGGAGGCGGAGGGAGGAGGAGGAGGAGGAGGAGGAGGAGGAGGAGGAGGAGGAGGAGGAGGGGAGGAGGGGGAGGAGGAGGAGGAGGGAGGGAGGAGGAGGAGGGAGGACAAGCTAGGTGCGCGCGCGTCATATCTGACGTCCTACCCCTCCCTCCCATCCCTTACCATGGCGCTGATTTTCTCTATCCGCGGACTAGTGGGTGGTGGTGCGCGTGCGTGCGTGCGTGCGTGTGTGCGTGGTTGTGCTGGTGCTGGTGCTGGTGCTGGTGCTGGTGCTGGTGCTGGTGCTGGTGCTGGTGCTGGTGCTGGTGCTGGTGCTGGTGCTGGTGCTGTGCTGGTGCTGGTGCTGGTGCTGGTGCTGGTGCTGGTGCTGGTGCTGGTGCTGGTGCTGGTGCTGTGGTGGTGGTTGGTGGTGGGGTGGTGGTGGTGGTGGTGGTGGTAGTGGTGGTGTGTGTGTGTGTGTGCGTGTGTGCGCGTGTGCTGTGGCATGGCACGGGAAATGACGCCAGCGCTGCAGCGGGAGCACGAGTCGAAACGGGCGGAAGCGCGGAAATGAGGCCAGCGCTGCAGCGGGAGCACGATTCGGAACGAGCGGAAGCACGGAAATGAGGCCAGCGCTGCAGCGGGAGCACGATTCGGAACGAGCGGGGCCCGAAAATGAGGCCGGCGCCTCGGCGAGAGCAGCGTTTTGAACAAATGCAGGCGAAAACCCAACTCCCGGGAATCCTGTGTGTAAAACAGCAGGACGCCGGGGGGGGGTCGGCTACTTTCAGGCCGCCATCGGGGGAAGACGGAGAGTAGTATTCATATTGAGTAATTGTGGAGGAGGAGGAGGAGGAGGAGGAGGAGGAGGGGAGGAGGAGGGAGGATGAGGGAGGAGGAGGAGGAGAGGAGGAGGGGAGGAGGAGGAGGAGGAGGAGGAGGAGGAGGAGAGGAGGAGTGGAGGAGGAGGGAGGAGGAGGAGGAAAAGGAGGATGAGGAAGGAGGAGGGAGGAGGAAGGAGGAGGGAGGAGGAGGAGGGAGGAGGAGGAGGAGGAGGAGGAGGAGGAGGAGGAGGAGGATGAGGAGGAGGAATAGGAATAGGAGGAGGAGGAGGAGGAGTAGCACGCAGTAAGAAGGAAGGAAGGCTGAGGGTTGGCCGAACCGACCCAACCCAAAACCTTAGCAGCGTCTGTGTCTCTGCTACGCTGCCCCACTACCCTTTGCAAGGGGGGGGCGCGCGCGGGAGCGGTGCGCCTGCTGTTGGCGGCCGCGGCGGACGGGCGGCAGGAGAGCTCATCCCTCCTGCTCCTGCCCCACCTCCGCCTCCCGCTCCTGCTCCTCAGCTAAAGAGAGCATAAGCTGGTCAAGAGGGATAACACCATTCAGCTGAACTCCCGACTTCTTGGGATGTCTGCCGTTGCAGATCTGCTGCCATGCATATCGGGCTCCACGGTTCTGACACTCAGCAAACTGCGCAGGGCACGGAGAGGTCAAGTTACGTGGGTTCGACACAGCATTAGCACCGCACATCTGACAAGCAATGATAAAGTTCTCTCCTGTTGCAAAATCTGCAACCACCAGCTTGTGGCCGTGGCTGTCTGCAGCGAGAGTCTTCAAAGGAGAACTGCCAGTGCACTTCTCACTGAGCCTCGATTCTTTACTATGGTCCGTCAAGGCTCGGGTTTTACAAAGCTTGCACACCCAGCCTCCCAGACTCCAGACCCAATCGTGCACAAGGAGACCCCCAGCACCCCGAGTCGCAGCGGGAGGACGGGGGGGAGGAGGCACGGGCTTGGAGCCTGGGGCGGCGGCGGCCCCCACAGGAGGGGAATTTGACTTGCTTGGTTTGGCCAGAGCTTTGCCTCCA